TGAACCAGAAGAAAGATGGGGTGCAGCAGTCCAATAGCCAAGGTAGCTTGAGGGATTAACAGGAAAGGCCCTTCTTACCCTGGGGGGAAAGGGAGCAGTACAGAACGGGAGTCGTCCTAGCAAGCCAGTGGAAAGCCCCACCTCAGTATAGTAGGAAGAGATCCTGAAGCCCAGGTGGTAGAGCATGTAAACACCAACACCTGGATCCCTGAGTGCCTCACTGAGGGCGAGGGAACTGGTGGAAACCAGCTTAGAAAACTACCAGGTGCCTGGGCATTCTACAGCAACCAGCTCTCCCAGTGCCTCAGCACTAAGGGAAGCAGTGCTCCAAGGGGCCCCAGGTGGATAAAAACCCTAAGGAAGGAAAGGAGCAGGAAAATCTCCAGGAGCCACACTACCCAGTCCTACCCCTAGAGTTTGAAATTCACTAACACCCCATCTCTTCAGTTTATACTGAATAGTCCAGAATCACACAAATAGTAATTAGAATATCCAGGGCCCAAAACTTTGGTTCCTTAACTCAAAACCCAATGTTATTTCTTCTGTACCTTCCTAAGTCTCTTTTCCTCTAGGTCTCAATATTTTGAAAATATTTTTTCTACTCCATATAGTTTCATGATTCTAAATATTTGGTACTGTTACATGCATTAAAGCATTTTCTTAAATTTTGAAATTGAACATTATATGTGGATAATTGTAGGCAATATAAAGATATTATATCTGTCTGTTATTCTGTTATATAACTATTATTCCAGTACAAGTTATTTGTTGAGTTCTCAAAGACATTTTGGGGTTTGTACCTGTAATATGATAATGATGATATTTTTTCTCCTTCATTCATATTTGGTAAGCACCATTGTATAGAACAAAGAATTGGTAAATTCAATCCTATCCATTTTACTCATTAAAATATAGACTTGAGCTTCTATAATATTGTCTCTATGCTATGTAGATGGAACCTGTAATTACAAATCAGACATTCTGATTTCCTATTTCGGCAGTGCACTTCCTTCATATAATTCGTAAGTTTTCTTATCTGTCAGATAGAAATAATAGTACCTGCCGTATCTATATCAATGTGGAAATACTCAGACAATTTCACAGCGTTAAGCTGTCAGGATATTACTGGATACTTTTGTCTTGTTTTAACCTTGCTATATCAAGAATGTATCGCATTCCTTATGTGACAGTAAACGATGTTGAGGGTTAGACATAAGAAAAAAAAATTAGAAGCATTAACCCCATAACATTTAACATTTGGTCCAGCCTATCAGAGGTTGAATTCAGTAGTTTGTGGAAGGTCAAAAGCAAAATCAATAGATTCTGTCTGTGTCATACAAATTAACTGGTGAAAACAAACAAAAAAAATCAGTCATATCAGTTATTCAGCATCATCTAGCAATACACAGAAAAGCATTGTTTGGCTAAGCTCATTTTTAAACCACTCAATTCAGTAAGATAACTTTGCATTTGTAAACATCCAATGCAGAATTTCAAGTATGATTTGCTTTATAACCTGTTATATACTGACATATTTCCTGAAAACTTCTTGTACCACAGCATAAAAGCATCAATAAAAAGCAACCTTTCTTCTATGAGGAAGGATCATGCCATGTTTATTTTGTTTCTTAGTTGCCATGAATCCAAACAGACAACAAACCACTTTCCAAATGATGAAACTTTTCCATCGTCAGATTTAATGCATTTCTAATCAATTCAACTCCAATGAAATGCTTAAGAAATTCAGAGGATTGGGGCCATGGAAAACTTGAAGAAATGGCAAATGCCTTCTTCAGATCTTCCAAACCCAAATTTCCTATATTTTCATCATTTTATTTTATATCACATCAGAGCATAAGGACTATTCCAACTTTTTGACTAGAGAGAGAGAGAGATAGAGAGAAATACACACACAGCCATATACTCATATGTATGACAAACAAGTCCAACCAATTCCCATCAGTAAAAAAAAAAAAAATGTTCAGTTACTACAACCATAACTTGATGTACGGTGACCCCAAGTAATTAGAGTGACCCAAGCTAAGGGTCAAACAGAGAACTCTAGTTTTCTGTTGCTGCTGTTGTTCTCTGAATCATACTGCCTTTACAATTGTGTCATTTTAATCAGACCTATTTAGTTTTATTTCATGGTCCCAAATTGTGTATCACATTGGTTATGATTCATATGATAGGAGACTTAAAAGCTCATGCTGTCTGTGTTGGTACACCACCCAATTAAGTGGAATGCTAATAGTAGGTAACCTGTTAAATTGGATCTTTGAATAAGATGTTATACTAGGAGGCAGCTCTCTGGTTATCTTCACTGCTCTCTTTCCCACTTCAGCCAAGTGCACTTTTGCAAATACTGAATATCAGATTCTGAAGAGCTCTTCAGAAGTTCCTAGAAAATCGTATGAAGAGTGCATGGCGAGTTCTCTGCATAAAATATGTTGACTGATTAAGGACAGATTTTATTTGCCACATTCATCTGATTAAAAAAAATAGAAAGTACAAGTAGAAAATAGTCTTTAATGAAACTTTAAAAACAGACTTTAAAAGGTTATTGTTGTGCAACTTTCAGACTTTGGGGCAGTTTGTCCAGAGTAAATCTGGCTGTTAACTATTTGCGATAACTGGTTTATTTACTGCTAATACCTTAAAATTGAGATTAAATTAGACCCATAGTTTTTATAAGGAAGATCTATGCCACCACCACCCATTCCTCCTACTTCCCAGTAGTTTGACAGTCTTAACCTCTGCAGATATAACATTGATGAATGTTGTGTTGCCAAACAACATAGTGAGCATCTAAACTGCTGTGAGCAGCCCTATTGCCTCCAAATGATATAATCTAAGATGAGATTGTAACTCAGTGGCTGAATACTTTGCCTTCCCTTTGCATAGAATGCTATAGCCCAAGACTCTTTATTTTAATATCTTACAGGAATGCAATCTTTCTTCATTTCCCCCTTTGAAAAAGAGGCCCATAAAAAACTGAATCTCAATTGCAGAAAGCATGAAACCATATCAACCCCACATCAGGATATTCTTATGTGATATAAGATCCTGATTTGCTTTTTGATGCTGGCATTAAACAGCTGCCCAAATTCATTCTGTTCAGCAAAGATATTCAGGCATCATGGATAACTGATCAGAGATATGTAAGAGACCAGGAAACTGGATGAAGTGGGAGTGGAGGGTTGTAACTGCAGTATTCCTGACCTCCCTCTGGGCATTATTGGGTAGCTACTTGTGCATATCACTTGTATAGGTCATCATGAATATTAACCTTCAGCCCTTCCTACACTTTCTGCTCATCAGTCAGGAGGAGGACATTCATAACTCAGAGAAATCAGCTGGATTGGAGTCTTGCCTTTCATTCCTACTCATCCCTAAACTTGTCCTTTAAACATATGTTGTGTCCTCTCTATTCTTCAATCCAAGTGAGTCTAATGTAAGGAGTCTGTAGAATTGGGTGGGTAGCATTTGTATACAAATGAAATTATATTAAAAAGAACAGGTAAGCTGCCCCTGAAAAGAAAAAGTGGAAATAGGGTCATATGCTGGTTTAGATAAGTGTTAGGGTGAGGGATCACACATAATCCCATTCACTTTTCCTCGTAGTGCCAGATGGTGACTTATTTGATTATTCTAGGTACCTTGGTGGTGTAGGATGTAGAACACTAGACTTAAAGTCAAGAAGACCTGATTTTAAATCTGTTTCAGGCTGACCCCAGGGAGGTCACTGAACATTTCTCAGTCTCTATTTCTTCATATATAAAATGAAGATAATAATGGCACCTAGCTTACAACTCCACTGTGTAGATAAAAAAAGATAATATACATAAAGCAGTTAGCAAACATCAAGGAACTATATAAATGCCATTGATGATGATGATTTATTTAAATATGTTGTTGTTAATGTTATTGTTGTTATTGTTGCCTTTAGTATTAGCTAATAGAACCACCATTTCCTCTCCACCAATTGTGTTGCAGAGTGTCCTATGTTCAGGCTCTCTTTCAGAGGGTCTAAATGTGGGAGAGAGTGAAGTAAAAAGAAGAAACATACTACCAAAGCAATATTTGGTAGTTAGAAGTCTGAATCTGGCCTGGGTTCTGAAGTTAAGGATTTTAATGCCCAACTGTCCTCTAGGAGATGTTACTGGGTAAGCTATTGGAGATAAACCCAATTTAAAGCAACCATATGTAATGTTATTATCCTATCGTAAATGGGCCAGCTTGCATAATGACAGCTAGAATATAAGGTTAGCTGAAGATAGCCATTTACATTCCTGAACTCAATTCATTCCTTTTATTCCTGTGTTGGCCCAGTTAGTGCCTCTCTTGTGTACCAGACAAAAATTAAAGTCTAACTTCAGGTGAATACAATTTCATTATAGAAACACAGGCCAAAGTCTGATTCATCTTCTTGTTGGCCTGACACTGCAGTGCCCAATAGAGATAATTATGAGCTGCCCTCTAACAAGAAAAGGTGTGACAGAAAAAGCAGTAGATTGTAGATTCCAGGAATTTTAATGTGGTTTAGATGTGTTTATGTTACTGCAAAGCTTCCATATAAGAGGAAAAAAAAAGAAATAAATCATCCTGTCACCAAGATCTTTAGTTAAAATATTGCCCATCATTAAAGTATTTGGAAGCATCCTTCAGACTCTAGACATCTCTGCCATTTATCTGTAGATTGAGATTTCTGTAGATACCTCCATTACCACCATTATCATTAAAATACGATTCAATGCCCTTAGGCCAAAAGCTAGTCCATCTGCAAAAACTCAACATTTACAAAGCTGGGCTGCAAAACAAAATACATGTTTTTAAACCTTTCTTTCACTGTCATATTCTATTTGAGAAGAAACATAATGAATGTGATATAGGCCAAACGTGTATTTCTTTATTTTCCCCCACATAGTAAAAAACTACCAGTTGTTCTGAGAAACTTCTTCTCCGACCTCCAAAAGCAAAGAAAGAAGCCAGTCACCTACCTGCTACTGAAACTTTAGCTGTTCGACTGACAATTGCCCCATAATCTCCTAGTGATGCTTCACACTGGTATAGACCTTCATCTGGTTTATGGTGCCTGGAGTGGACTATATTTTGTATTAACAGGGAGCCATTCGGCAGTTGCTGTTTTCGTTCATCCATTGCTAGGGCTAAGTGGGCACCATCCTTCTTCCACTTGATAACTGGGGCTCCTCTGTCAGACTCTGCAGAGCAGTTCAGAAGCACATTACCTCCCCGCATGGTGACAGCATCAGAAGGCTCTGACAGGAACCGGAGGGATGTAAAACTCTTAATCTGGGAACCTAGAATGGGAAGAAGAGGTAAATAACTTTATTAATTCAGATATTAGAAAACATTTGAAGTAGCTAAACCTATGTTTGGTATTCTTTGGATCTTCATAATATATCTCATTTGGCACCATGGTTAATTTTCAATATGTCTCCAAATAACGTAAATAGTTTTTTTTTTTTAAATGTTCTTACAATCAAAGAGAAAATATGTCCATGATTGATGTTGGTCAATCAAATAAAATATGTGAAAAAGATAAAAAAAGAATACAGAAAGTCAATAATTCAAACAAGCCTCAGCATACCTACATTCCTATATTATCCAATAAACCAAAAATTGATCAAGAAAAATGATATTATACATGTAACAGTTCTACAGATTTTTGTGGTTTGTAATTTCTTTACAAAAATCTCTGAGTATTTCAGGTATTATTCTCATTTAACAGATGAGGAAACTGAGGTTCAGAGAGGTTAAGTGATATATCTAAGTTTGAGGGATTTGCTATTTAATGATTCTATATCCTTACTGCCTTTGTAATTTTGGATAGACCTATTAGGCCTCACTTGTTTATCTAAAAAATGAAAGGGCTAGACTAGATAACTCAAACTCTGGGGTTCCTTCCAGCTCATTTTTTTTATCTTAGGTGTTTGAATTAATATTTGAAATCTAGTCTTTAGATTTCAAGTCCAATGCTCTTTGCAGTATGCCAAGATGAAATTGTAGTTATTATTGCATGAGAGTTTTGGAGGGATTCCTCAATTCTAGAATCTATTTAATTCTCCCCATAAGATCTATCAACTGTATAAGAAGGAACATTTACTCAGATGCAATGTTTTATATAAAAGTGAGTCAATTCTGATCCCAATGAACATCCAGAGACATATAAATTGTGTATTTCAAACTGATGAGACATCAGAAAAAGGGGACAGTAAAGCTATTACCTGAACCCATCAAGCCCACTAGGTTAAATTGTCTTAATTTTCCCCCTTTTATGGCATTAATTGGGCTTCAAACTCAAAACATTATTGTTTGTTTACTTTTTACCATAAACTAAAAAGAAAATAAGAAATCAAATAAAGGAATATGATATATATGTTCTGGACAGCTAATGGAACAGATTAATTAGTAAAAATATAATATGATTTCCAGGGTTACTAGAACATTTATTGATTTGTTTGTTTGTTTTGTTTTGTTTTGTTTTTCAGCAGGTCCGGTTACATGGAAGGGATATCAAGAGGTCATTTGGTTCATTCCCCTGTCTCATACAGAAATATCCATTAACTATTGAAGACAAATCATTTCCAATCTTCATCCTAAATGTCTTGTTTTGTTTTTGTTTGGGGGATAGAATGTCTACAATGGTCATAGACTCTCTTGGTGGCCTTCCTTTAAATTTAAATATGCGTGCACATACACAAACACACACACACACACACACACACACACATAGACTCAACCCTATAGTCCAACTTAATTTTCTTGCTATCTCTCCCATACAGGACTAAAAAATAGATAAGGTTTTTCCTTGCAATACCCTTCATTTCCTTGAAGATAACCATTAAGTTACCCTATAGCTGTCTTATCCCCAAGGTAACTAACTTCAATTTCATTAGCCTTTCTTTTTTTTTTTTTTCTTCCATAACTAAAATCTCACTACTTGTTCTCTGGTTCCTTTTTATTTTGCCATCATCAAATTTAAAATACCAAGATTAAAGTCAGATATTATGTACGTACCAGTGAAGTCCCAATGAGGTCCAACCTCCCTTTTCAGTCCAAAAAACAAACAAACAAAAAACAAAAACAAACAAAAAAAAAACTAAAAATAAAACTACTACTATCCAACTCTCTATATTCTGTACACAGGTAAAATTGTGCCACATGAAGATCTCCATGCACTTTATTGCCCCCTTGCCTCTACTTACCATTCTACTTTCATATAATCCCTGGAGTAACCTTCATCCATTGAAATCCTACCCATCTATTAAGACTTGGGTCTGATGACAACTACTCTAGAAAATTTCCCTAATTTCACTGATGTGAAAATATGTTTGGATGGCTGAGGGAAAGCAGTGACTGTCTTGAGCTCTCTCCCAAAGCCCTCCAAATACCTAAAAAAATGACTCTATACAAATTCTAAAGCAGCAGAACCCACAAAAAGACAGAGTGAAACAAATTTCCAGCCATAGACAGCCTGGATGGTTGATCGGAAAAGGTGTATCACACCGGGCTGAGAGAGGAGCTCAGTTTGGCGTGGGCGCGCAGGCCACAGTGACCGTGAAGCAGGCCTCAGAGGACTGAATCGCAGGCAACTGTGGCAGTTTCCAGACTTCTCAACCCCTGAACGCCAAAGACAACTTAGAAGGTCAGTGGGAAAAGTCTGTAACTGCGGTGAGAGAAGGAGCTAGTTCTCAGCCACCCTCAGGGCCAAGGCTGTTTCCTGAGTTTCTGGCCCACAGACTGAGGGGGAATCAAATGGCTGATCAGAGGGGGATTGCAAGGATCTCTTTGCCAGGGCTGAGGCAGGAATCTCTTGCTTTGCCCGGGCTTGGATCTGGGTCACAGTTCTGAGGGGCGGTCCTGGGGCGAGGAGGAACACTGGTGTGGTGAAGGTTGTTGTGGTGGTAGAGAGGAAACACCTCGCCCCTTATCATAGCACCTTGGAAGAACTGAAAATTTTCAGGTCCCTAGAAGTAGCTCTGAAAACAGCTGTACAAACCCCCGACGCTTGGGACATAACACTCTTCACATTGGAAGCAGACTTTTACCTTAACAAAGAGTTTAAAACTCAAGTAATTGCCCGGGATCATGAGTAAGCAGCACAAAAAGAGTCAGACTATATTATCTTACTTTGGTGACAAAGAAGATCAAAACATACAACCAGAAGAAGACAACAAAGCCAAAGCTCCTACAGCCAAAGCCTCCAAGTAAAATATGAATCAGTCCCAGGCCTTGGAAGAGCTCAAAAGGGATTTTGAGAAGCAAGCAAGAGAAGTAGAGGAAAAACTGAGAGTGATGCAAGAAAATTATGAAAAACAAGTCAACAGCTTGCTAAAGGAGACCCAAAAAAATACTGAAGAAAATAACACCTTAAAAAATAGCCTAACCCAAATGGCAAAAGAGGTCCAAAAAGCCAATGAGGAGAAGAATGCCTTAAAAAGCAAAATTGGCCAAATGGAAAAGGAAGTCCAAAAGCTTACTGAAGAAAATACTTCCTTAAAAATTAGAATAGAGCAATGGGAAGCTAGTGACGTTATGAGAAATCAAGACACTGTAAAACAAATCCAAAAGAATGAAAAATTAGAAAACAATGTGAAATATCTCATTGGAAAAACAACTGACCTGGAAAATAGATCCAGGAGAGAGAATTTAAAAATTATTGGACTATCTGAAAGCCATGATCAAAACAAGAGCCTAGACATCATCTTTCAAGAAATTATCAAGGAAAACTGCCCTGATATTTTAGAACCAGAGGGCAAAATAGAAATGGAAAGAATCCACCGATCTCCTCCTGAAAGAGATCCCCAAAGGAAAACTCCTAGGAATATTGTAGCCAAATTCCAGAGTTCCCAAGTCATGGAGAAAATATTACAAGCATCCAGAAAGAAACAATTCAAATATTGTGGAAACACCATCAGGATAACACAAGATTTAGCAGCTTCTACATTAAGGGACCACAGGGCATGGAATATAATATCCCGGACAGCAAAGGAGATAGGATTACAACCAAGAATCACCTACTCAGCAAAACTGAGTATAATCCTGCAGGGGAAAAATGGTCATTCAGGGAAATAGAGGACTTTCAAGCATTCTTGATGAAAAGACCAGAGTTGAATAGAAAATTTGATTTTCAAATACAAGACTCGAGTGGCACATGAAGAGGTGAACAGGAAAGAGAAAATCATAAGAGACTTACTAAGTTTGAACTATTTACATTCCTGCATGGAAAGATGAGATTTGTAACTCATGAGACCTTTGTCAGTATTAGGGTAGTTGGAGGGGAAAAAATTATATGTATGTATATGTAGATATAGATAGATAGATAGAGGGCACAGGGTGAGTTGAAAATGAAGGGGTCATATCTGGAGAATAAAATTAAGGGGTGAGAGAGGAATATACTAGGAGAAAGAGAAAGGGAGAGGTAGAATGGGGTAAATTATCCCACAAAAAATAAAAAAAAACAGAAAAGAAAAGGCTCTTACAGTGGAGGGGAAACGGGGGAAGGTGAGACGGAATGAGTGAATCTTATTCTCATAGGATTTGACTTAAGGAGGGAATAACATACACACTCAATTAGGTGTAGAAATCTGTCTTACCCTACAGGAAAATAGGGGGGAAGGGGACAAGACAGTAGGGGAATGATAGAGAGGAGGACAGATTGGGAAAGGGAGTAATCAGAAGCAAATACTTCTGAGGAGGGACAGGGTCAAAAGAAAGAATAGAATAAATGGGTGGGCAGGATAGGATTAAGGGAAATAGAGTTAGTTTTTCATAGCATGTCTGCTATGGAAGTGTTTTGAATAACTGCACATATGTAACCTATATTTAGTTGCTTGCCTTATCAATGAGGGTGGGTGGGGAGGGAGGAAGGGAGAAAATTTGGGACCCAAAGTTTTAAAAACACATGTTTAAAGAAAATGTTTTCACATGCAACTGGGAAATAAGAAATACAGGAAATGGGGTATAGAAATCCATCCTGCCCTGCAGGAAAAATGAAGGGAAAGGGGTTAAGAGAAGGGGGGGAGAGATAGAAGGGAAGGCAGACTAGGGGAAGGGGTATCTAGAATGCATACCATCTTGGGGTGGGGGGAGGGGTGAGATGGGGTAAAAATTTGGAACTCAAAATCTTGTGGAAGTAAATGTTGAAAACAAAAAAATAAATAAAAATTACCATAAAAAAGAAAAAAAAAGAAAATATGTTTAATAGCAATGTATATGTATAGCCTATATCAGATTGTGTGCCGTTTTGGGGAAGGATGTGGGGAGAGTAGGGGGGAAAAAATTTAAAACTCAAAAG